CGCCGCCGCCCGTACCCGGCTCAGCGCATTTACCGCGTCCGCTGCTCCTTCCTGGAGCTGAGCGAGGAGCAAGCGCTGCGSCGCTGCCGCCTGGACCGGGCTGCCATCGCTGCCCTGTGCCGGGAGCTGGGCTCCGACCTGCAGAGCCTGACCGGCCGCAGCCACGCTYTGCCCGTGGCCGTCAAAGTCACCTCGGCCTTGGCCTTTTTGGCCTCGGGCTCTTTCCAGACCGCATCGCGCCTCAGCACGGGCATCAGCCAGTCGGCCATGTCCAACTGCCTGGCTCAGTTCCTGGCGGCGCTGCAGCGGCGGGCTCCCCGTTACATCGCCTTCCCCCCTCCGCCCGCGCCCCCCGGGGACCCCCCGGCTCTGCCCGGGGTGCTGGGYTTGGTGGGCGCCATGCACGTGGCTCTACGAGCTCCGGCCGACAACGAGCCCTTGTTCCGCAACGCCGCCAACTTCCACTCCATCAACATGCAGGTGGTGTGCGACCGCCACGGCGCCATCACCAACGTGGTGGCAAAGTTCCCCGGCTCCTGCCCCAACGCTGCTGTGCTGGAGAATTCGGCCCTGGCGCGGCTCATGGAGGGCAGCAGGCCGGAGGGGGTCTGGCTGCTCGGTGAGGAGGGTTTGGGGGGTCCCAGAGTGAGGACAGCGCTGGGGAACTCGGCCCTGGTGTGGTTCATGGAGGGCACCAGGCTGGAGGGGTCTGGCTGCTCGGTGAGGGGGGTTTGGGGGGATTATTGGGGTCCCAGAGTGGGGACGGCGCTGGGGAACTCGGCCCTGGCACGGCTCATGGAGGGGATGAGGGCAGAGGGGGTCTGGCTGCTGGGTGAGAGGGGTTTTGGGGAGGTTTTTGGGGTTCCAGACAAGGGACAGTCCTGGGGAACTCAGCCCTGGTGCGGCTCATGGAGGGGATAAGGGCAGAGAGTGTCTGCCTGCTGGGTGAGGGGGATTTGGGGGGATTATTGGGGTCCCAGAGTGGGGTCAGCCCTGGGGAACTCGGCTCCTCATGGAGGGCAGCAGGCCGGAGGGGAGTTTGGGGGAATTTTTGGGGTCCCAGAGTGGGGACAGTCCTGGGGAACTCATTCCTGATGCAGTTTGTGATGGGGATGAGGGCAGAGGGGGTCTGGCTACTGGGTGAGAGGGGATTTGGGGGGATTATTGGGGTCCCAGAGTGGGGACGGCACTGGGGAACTCGGCCCTGGCACGGCTCATGGAGGGCAGCAGGCCGGAGGGGGTCTGGCTGCTGGGTGAGAGGGGTTTTGGGGAGGTTTTTGGGGTTCCAGACAAGGGACAGTCCTGGGGAACTCAGCCCTGGTGTGGTTCATGGAGGGCACCAGGCTGGAGGGCTCTGGCTGCTCGGTGAGGGGGTTTTGGGGGGATTATTGGGGTCCCAGACAAGGGACAGTCCTGGAGGACTCAGCCCTGGTGTGGTTTGTGATGGGGATGAGGGCAGAGGGGGTCTGGCTGCTGGGTGAGAGGGGTTTTGGGGAGGTTTCTGGGGTCCCAGACAAGGGACAGTCCTGGGGGACTCAGCCCTGGTGTGGTTTGTGATGGAGATGAGGGCAGAGGGGGTCTGGCTGCT